TATATATATATATATATTTTTTTTTTTTTCAAATCTACCCTTATTGTTTCAATTAGTGAAAGTACGGCTAATCGAGTGAGATGTTTAAGAGAGTAATTTAGATAATACTACATTCGGTCCACAATAAGTAATTTTTTGGTTATTTTTACACAGATTAAGAAATTTACCTTTTAATATTAATTAGCAATGAAATTAATCATATTAACATTTACTATCTCTTCACATAAACACTCATAACACATACTCCAACACTATTTACTCCAAGGGTTGTATAGGAAAAAATAATTAATTCATTCTTGAAATCTGAAAAAATTACTTATTTTGGACCACAAAAAAAGACCAAAAAATCACTTATTGTGGACCGGAGGGAGTACTTTTCTGATTAAGACGGTATAAATGTATCTTTAATGAAACGTGCAAGACCGTAAAAAAAGATAATATAAACCGTACGAAATACAAAAAATACACTCAAATATTGTCTCACCTTCCAAAGAATTTGCAAGATCCATGAAATTCTTAACCACCAAACGATGCAAATCTTCACCAGACCAGATGGGGTAAATACTAATATTAATCAACAAGCAAATACCAGCACCAAGAGCAATTAGTGCCAAACGAGTACAAATTGCCACATTATACTCTCTAGTCCTGTTTCCAGCCACAATTAGGATACAATACGTCAAGATAAATACTCGATATCCATATTCATATGGTGCCATTGTTGGGTATAGCTTCAAGTATGATCCAAAAAATGCTGTCAAAAAAAATTACAAGAAAATAATAGATGAGACTAATTACGTAATCCTCTATCCCAATTTATATGACGCAATTCAAATATCGAGAGTCAAATAAATTTTTTCTTTGATCGTGATTTTTTCATATGCCTTTTGAGTATTTTTGAACTACTAATTATTATGACTTATAATTTCTTTTATATAGTTTTCAAATATGTAAATTTTATTTCAAAAAGCTTAAAGTTTCTACATTTGAATACGTAGTCAAAATTAAAAAGTTTGACTCTTGAAATCACAACTGCATCATATAAATTTGGACAGATTTTAAGAGAAAATTTGGAACATGAAGATTTTATGCTAATAGAAAGCTTACCTACGATAAAAATGCTCACAACAATTACAACTCTTTCCCTTTCTCCAGCCCACAATGCTAATTGAGCAAAGATGAAGGCAAGCATCCCAGCACAAAACGTCCCCAAACCACGATTAAATCCTTTAATTAAGGTTGCTCCTGCACAAAAAAAAAGGGTGAAAAGGGTAACTATATCAGCAAATTAATACTTATTGGCTACAGTAAAACGATGTAAAGATTTTTTATGTTATTCGTGTAACTTAACATTTTATAGCAGGTTATATATATATATATACACCATTTTTACTAGATTATCAATTAATATTTGTATAAATATTTACCTATGCATATGAAACTTTTACCCTTTTAATGCGCAGAAAACATAANAAAGATTTAAGTTATATATAGGCTGATAATGTAAAATTTTTTTTTATGTTATCCATGTAATTTAACCTTTTATAGCAAGTAATTAGTTATGTAACATTTTACTATGATAGATATTTATATGTAATGGCTTTATAAATGACTTGATTGTGCAGAAAACTTTTGTACTATTAGTGCGTATGGAACATATACTCATACTAGTAAATTAGTTAGAGTTCTATGCATTATTGGTGTACAAATATTTACACATACATTTTACTTAGAATGTAATTACAAGTAACTCTATCGATTGGCAATATATGATAAATAATAATTATATTAACCTATTACTAACAGATCAAATTATAATGATGGTATAAAAAATTCATTTTACTATCAACGTAAATAACTTAAATCCTAGTAAAATTGAGAAGAAAGTAAAAATAAGAGAAGGATATGCTAAAATGTTTTACCTATGCTGAACTCAAACATAACAAGAACCGTTAAGATTGCCCAAATTGCGAACTGAGCAATATCATTAGGTTTCTTCCAGAAAATGAGAAGAGACACAAAAGATAATGCAAATCCCATCTTTAAGGAAAAAATAATTTTTCGAGGATCGTTGCGACCCATCTCGATTGCTTTCTTAGCAAAATCTTGTAAATTGTTGAAAAAACTTGTAAACCTATCATTCAATGGACTGAAACAATTGCAGCAGCCTTTTCTTTCATCATAATCATTTGGCAGCAGTTTTTCTTTGTTTTCATCTGAAGAAGCCTTCTTGAAAAAATTCTTTATGGTCACCATTTCTTGCTATCTTTTACTTCTGTTTATAGACTCTGAAAAAAAAAAGGAAAAAATAAGGAGATGATCAAAATGTCATTTGTGTTACAAGCTGTGTAGAACTTTCTTGTAAGCAGCCGCAGCAACAACAATGATAAACACAGTGTAATTATATAAGTACGATCTAGGGAGGGTAGTGTATACGTAGACCTTACTCCTAACTTATAAACATAGAGAGGCTGTTTTCGAGACCCAATGACAACATGTAGAACTTTCTTGTAAAGAAAGAAGAAATTGAAGAAAACTTATCAAAGAAAGAAAGAAAATTCACATTAAAGTAAACAATGAAATAATGGAACAATCAACTATGCCACTTCAAAAAACCAAAACCAACCTTGCCACAATATATTCAAGCAAGTTATTGTCGGTTATATGGATCCTTATAGATTATGCCGCTCTATTTAAGTACTTTTATCGATTCAATATTATACAAAATAAAAGTTATAAGTACTAGCTAGAAGTTCTATTTATTTTCAATGGCATATATATAAATCTAGAACAGTACTAAAAGACTCCTAGAAAATACTATAAAACTTAAAGTAAACTTACTGACATGACTAGAATAATTTGATCACAACTTAACATCTTTGTATGTTTTAACACCAATCACCTGTTATTGCCAGCTTGTATATTTCTTCTTGGTTTTTTGTACATGAAGAGTAATAAAGAAGAAGAAGAAGAAGAAGAAGAAGAAGAAGAAGAAGAAGAAGAAGAAGAAGAAGAAGAAGAAGAAGAAGAAGAAGAAAGACGTGCATGAAATTGAAGCAAGAGTTTTTGGTGTGCCACTTTGGCTGGATTAGTCAATTCCCTAACATCAGAAATTGGTTACAGTACGGTAGTGAAAACAAAGAAAGAAGCTTCCCTCCCTCTCCAGTACCATAATTAAATCAGAAAAAACGTACGAGTAAAGTTGTTACATAAAAATAAAAATAAAAATAAAAAATAATTACGACTCAATTTCAAGCTAAGCGAGATCATCTAGATAAATTTTCAATCAATTTTATTCTATTTGATCATGTTTCCATCTCTAATATTGAAAAATTTAGTTTCTCTATATATCATTAGAAGTTCTCTACATTTTTTTACTGATACACAAATTTCTAACCAATTTAAAGAGACTCCTAACAAACAATGGACCCTATGCAAGCTTTATATCATGACTAATTAAGCCTTAATTCTAGCGAGTTAATGCATCGTTAATATAAGTTTTTCTTGCATTATATTCTATTTTTCGCTAACTCTCCAATCCGAGTAATAAAATTAAGAAAAGAATCGCAGATTCTTGAAAGATGACATAGTATTAATTTCTTCCGCGTAACAGATAATTAGCTACACAATATACTACTTCTAAATAAAAGAAAAAAAATAATATAATGGATCAGATTGGGTTTTATATAAGACTTACCAACAATAATAGTGCATTACTCTTTAGACCTGCAAATTCAGTTGGAGATTAAAGAAAATCCATTATTGGGATCTTGCAAAAGGGAAGAACCAAAGAAACAAGAGTGGTACGTAGAAGAATGTTAGGAAAATTACCAGAAATATGTTATAATAAATTAAAGAGATAGGAATAAGTAGCTAACGAAGAGTAAGAAGAAAGCGAAAATATGGTCTAAATGAAGGTTGATGGGCTAAGCTATATAAGAATGTAGAGCAACAATATTCTTGAAGACTAATTCATAATTCTCAATTATTGTTATTTTTTGTGTATTCCAATTTTCTCTTGAAATGTTGCCTAAATTTCAACTCTACAGAGCTAAATGACCTTTCAATATAGCAAAAGGAAGAAATTTATAGTGCTAGGCAATTTGTTGGCTATTTTCTTTTTTATGATCTCTCGCAGTTTGAAGAGTTTGTGTTTCTTTTCTCAGTTGAAAGTTTAAATTTGAAAATATTTAGGAAAGATTTTGAAACAAATGAATAGAAAAAGAAGATTTAATTTCTAAAACTCAAACGTGGAAGCATTCTGTCAATTTCAGCCATTTCCATTTTCAACTATCATATCACGTAGAATTCCTTCTAATAAAGAAATAAACTTATAGGAGAAAAGGCCTTGTATTTAAAACGAACAAATTATTTGCTGCCAAAATTATTGGCTAAATATGATTTTCAATAAGAAAAAAAGTATGAAAAAGGGATGAATAGAGGTGCGACATAAACTATTACATATAATTCCAATTAATTTGTCTTGCAAGTGCATGAGTTTGGGTCTGCGTCAGTGAACTTATTAAGATTTTACTTCGTGCACCAAATTAATACATATTGTGTATTATTTCTCAAGTGGTGTGGACTTATTATAGTTATATACATACTGTTAATAGGGTTTACGTTATATAGAGAATAAGTTTAATTTAACTTGCTATAGCATATTATCATCATTTATTTTATGTTATCAATCAATGTTTATTGAAAATAATACTTACAATTACCTTTCAAGTCTTGATTGCGTTAATATTTTTTACACCACTAATACAAAATATTAGCTAGAAATCAAGCGAGGGAAGTGAAACCCCAACATCGACTTCTACAACATACGAAAAATAACATATTGGGAAAACCAAGCGTCATCTGATAAATATATACTTTTGTGTAAGCAAAGGACAAGATGAGTGTGAGTTGAGGTGGATTGAATTGGTTGTCTTCATTTTTGCACTCATTTTCTCTTTAATAATCTTACTAATATTATTTATCATTATGTGATTTTGTCAAAATCGTGAGAAACTCAATTAATGTTTCTTCAAGAATTGGAATGAGTTGTGCGCATGGACATATATATTACAAGTCGTCTCTTACTAATGAAGAAAATGACATTAGAAGAAAAGTCTTTATTATTAACTTCATTTTCGCGGGTTTTTAGAAAATTTCAAGCCTCTTTGCTAGTTTTTTTCTTCAAATTTTATTAAAAACATCAATAAGAAAGAAGGTAGTTCTTGGATATTCTTTGCGATTCTTTTGTTAAAATTAAGAATTAATTTTATGGATAGTTACTCAACCATCACTTTATTACACCAAAATCATATAACATTTTTTCGTAATCATATATTGATCAATTTGATTTATTGATCAGTCAACTTAAGATTGTTAAATCCTTGTATTAATAAAAAAACGCTATATGATTTCTTCTCGTCGATATACCTAAGGAGTGGTGGCAGAGTAACCTGATACGAGTCACACCGTCATTAAAAAAAAAACTTAAAGTTGCTAAATATGGCAAGTAGTTAGGGGTCATTTGGTTCAGAACTAGGTAATTCCAGGATTATAGTCCTAGGATTATTCTCCATGATTATAACAAGGCCATAGATAATCCCACATTTTATATGTGAGAGATAATCCCATGATTTTGGTATAAATTTTATCCTGATTTTAGCTGATACTCGCAATCAAAGACAAAAAAAAAATTAATCGGGACAACCCCCTAACCCCAGTAACCAAACGCCCCCCCTAAAGATATGGAAAATAGTGATCTTCCCTTTGGGCCGAAATCCCATAAATTTCAACAGCCCAAACGGTTCGATAATTAATAGAAGAATTAAGTAAAAATAGCACGGGTTAGCCAGTTTTCGGACTGATAATTGAAAAATAGCCAACATTTGTAAAGTCATTAAAAAATAATCACTATTTTGCTGCAACACAGAAAGTTCCAGCATAATATACTGGAGATTGAAGGACCCGTGTATGAACTTCCAGCATATTATGCTGGACCAGTATATTATGCTGGAAGTTCACATGTAAAAAATTCGAACTCCACTATATTATGCTGGAATATTTTTTGAATTTTGAACAGTGTTTTCGTTTAGATTTATCTTTACATAAAAAGTGGCTAAATTTTGATTACTTTTGAAATTGTGGCTAATTTTCAATTACCACTTGTAAATCTGGCTATTTTTGAATTTAACCCAAGAATTAATCTAAATAACCGTCCACCCAACCGCTTAAACTTAAAATAGTCGATGGATGTATAATATATGAATAATTCAAATATAATATGTCTTTAGCTATTTATAATCCATGTACACCGGTTAAAAATAAATAAATAATGAATATGGGTGGCTATTTGTGTAAAGATCCCATATTATTATTCCCAAAACTTGGGTCTCTAGCCCATTTTTAGCTTCTTCCTTTATTCCATCTTCAGTCCTACTACCTTATCCATTGTGTTATCATATCAAATCTCTACACTCTTCTAAGGCTACTATTTTTCCCACTTCCAATTTCTCTCTCACAGAAACCATGTTATCAATGTCAGTTCAATCTAGCTTGAAAAGCAGTGTTACTATCACTTCTTTACCTTCCCACAATCCCTCTGTTAAATCCTTCAGATGTTCTTCCTTCTCTGTAAACAACACAGCTTCATCTTCCATTCTTAGTTACAAAACCAAACCAACAAGAAATATCCATAAGTTTTTTGCTTCAGCTGCCACAGAAACAGAACCAGTTACAGCTGAGATTTCAGACTCTATAGTTCAAGAAATAGAGGTAAAAAACTAAAAATCAACCCTTTAATTTTGATTATCTAAGACCTATAGAATTTTATAGCCGAATCCATTTTAAATGTTCCTGGATATGTATGCATAGTTGGAGAAATGAGTGTGACCTTATCATATGATACATTTTAAATGTGTCCAAAGGCAGTTTTACAATTTATATCTGATTAGTTCTACCTTCTTTGTTTTATTATTGAAGCTATTGCATTTTTGAAATTATGGGCTCCGAAATTTAATAATTGTTGACATTTTAGTGGAGTATTTTTTTAAAAATATGTATCTTTGCTCCGTGTCAAAAATTATGTTCAATTGAACACATCAAATACATAGTGCATCTGCATTTATGCAAACATAGGTTAAGCAAAAACGACGGATTCAATTGAATTTACAGAACTCGTCCTAAATGCGACTATGAGAATGAGCCTAAAAGACAGGATCGGAGCTTGAGTATTAAGTACGGTTTCGGCCGAACCATTAACTTTTGCTTAGATCTTGTGTTTGAATTAAAAAATCATTAAATATGTATGAATACTTCCTCCGTCCACAATAAGTGATTATTTTACCTTTGACACACTCATTAAGGAAATACGATCTCCTAGAGAAAAAAAGATGTATTTACTAAATTAACTTCAATTAATTGTTATCTTGACACATTGTTATATGTAACTAAGGGCAAACTTTGGAAAAATAAAATTAATTCCTTCTTGATTATGTAAATGTACACTTATTTTGAACCAAAATAAAAAGGTAAAATTGTCAATTATTGTGAACTCGAGGGAGTGTTTAATTACAAACGCAGTAAATAAGAAGAAGTATGAGTTCCGTGGTATGCGCAGAACCCATAAACTTCATATCCCGAAAAATGATATAGTAAAGTATTTTGGTTGAATTCTTGATTTTTGCAGAAGAATGATTCTAAGAAAAAGGTAATTGAGAAGCCAAGGCTGGTGTTAAAGTTCATATGGATGGAGAAGAACATAGGACTTGGTCTTGATCAAGTGTTACCAGGACATGGTTCTGTTCCTTTGAGTCCATATTTCTTTTGGCCAAGGAAAGATGCATGGGAAGAGCTTAAAACAACACTAGAGAGCAAGCCATGGATATCACAGAAGCAGATGATTATTTTGCTTAATCAAGCAACTGATATCATCAATTTGTGGCAGCAGAGTGGTGGCAATTTGTCCTAATTGCTTTTGGTTTTTATCTTAGGCTAAAATTTTGAATTCTGTTAAGTTTTGTTTGGGGTAAGTCCTCTTCTTTTTAAGTGTATGTACTATAGTGAAAGAGAAAAATTGGGAAAGGATCTGTCATTTTTATTTCAAGATTTCTTCTTAATTTGAGACGCACTGGGAGAAAAAGGAGCATATGACAGCTGGGATAAGTTCTATGCACTGTCCATATAGGAAATATTTCTAGTCAAACCTCTTTATAATAATCTCGTTTGTTTCGATATTTTTTGGCTACTGTAGTGAAATACTGTTATAGAGAACATATATTATAACATAACATAAAAATTGGTTCCGAAAGAAACTTGACTTTTATAGTGAATGACTGTTATATAAGGATAGGATGATGTTATAGAGTGGTATAACTGTAATATGCTATAGTAAATTAAATTGTATTGATAATGTAAACAAAATCAGTGTGTATGACTTGAACAACAAATGCAATATTTGTCAATCCGGTAAAACTTGTCAACAATTGAATAAATACATACAAAATTTGCAAATCCCGTAAGACGGCGAACAATTTAAGAAAATAGGTACTATAAATATTGTGCCAAAGTTATGCACTGCTGGCATAACTCATGAACAAAGCAAAATTTATCAATCCAGCAAGACTTGCGAATAATTTAACATTATAATAAAAATAAAGATTATACCAAAGTATTGCCTCCTGCATAACTGACATAACTTGTGAACAAGGCAAGATTTGTTAGGACAAGACTTGTGAATAATTTAATAAGACCGATAAAATAAAAATTATACCAAAATTATATCCAGCTTGACAAAACTTGAGAAAGCCTAATTATTCATTCTTCTGGATA